TCCCTCGATCACAAACACCACGTCGGCCACCAGGCCCCCGGCCCGAGACGGGCCCTCGGATCCGGGGACCATGCCCCGCGCCGCCGCCGCCAGCGCCGTAGCTGTTGCCGTCCCGGGACGAGCAGAAGTGCGCCTGCGCGATGCGCGCACCCGCGCCGGACGTCTGGCAGCCTCTGCTGATGCTAAGGCGGCCATGTTTGTGCTGGGCACCCGGGCGTGGCGGTTTTATCCCTACCCTGGCGCTGCCCACACCATGAAACGCTCAGAATGGGCACAATGAGCCCCTTTAGGGGCCTCTTGAGAGCGAACAAACTTTTGTCCACAATATCAAGCACGAAATAAATTGGAAAACGGCACATCCGGCCACCATCTTGGAGTCGGTCTCGAGTTTCCGACTCGGAGCTAAAGGGGAGGTTGGGGAACCAGGTTGCTAGGCAACGCGTACCCAGCCGTTGTGTTCTCACACAGAGATTAAGTTAATAAATTCTCGTCTTTCTGACCGGGAACAGATCGGAGAGAGCGGTCCAGTCACATCTTCGGAAAACGACGTTGCCAGGCAACACTGTAAAGTTGCAGACGACTTGGAAGCCAGGGCAGTTGTTTTCCCTCGCAAAGAAGCGAATTCCAACTTAAGTGGAGGTTGCTAGGCAACACCTGATCCCTGTTTTCTGGGAAAGAAGCCAGTAACTGGCTCAAAGCAAATACGTTTCTTAAAAACATAGATAAAGTAATTAAAAATAATAAATAAATAAAAACAGTGTGCTAGGAATGCGTGATCTAGTTGGGGAAATTGAGCCTCAGCATTGCAGCCAACGGCATGAATATAAAATGACCTGGAAAATTACTGTAACATCTGTGGACGGAAACGTCATAAATATAGTTTACTAATAGAAAGATGCAAAGCCGAGAGGAGGAGGGGGTGACGGCGCATGCCTTGAACCCCAGCACACTGCAGACCTTTGGGGCCAGCCCAGGCTACAGGGGATGAGGACAGCCGTGGCTACACAAAGCAACCTTGTCTCAGAAACTAAAACAGGAAAAAGAGCCAGGCGGTGGTGGCGCACGCCTTTAATCCCAGTACACAGGAGGCAGAAGCAGGCGGATCTCTGATTTCAAGGTCTGTGTATGAAGCGAGTTCCAGAACAGCCAAGGCTGCACAGAGAAATCTTGTCTTGAAAAAAACAAACAAACAAACAAACAAAAACTCAAAAAAAAAAACCCAAAAAACAAAAAAAAAGAAAGAAAGAAAAGTGAAGTGAGAGGGCCAGGGAGCCAGACCAGAGCCATGACAGGTTTCTAACAGCTCTGCCGGGGACCAGGCCTTAGTTTCGGTTTACTGGAACTAGCTGGAGCTAGCACGCAGTTCTCGGGAAGCAGTCAGCAGGTTCCCCATAGTCTTCTGTTGGCTAAAGTAGCTTTCCCTACCCTGCAGCTGGAAAGTCCCTAACCATTAGATCCTCCCACCAATCTGGCCCTAGACTAATCTTTGCTCCACCAATCAGCCCTCAGGCTAATCCCTCCTCCCTGGAATTCCCCTAACTTAAATTCCCTGCTTAAAAGGAGCCAGTGAGCCGGGCGGTGGTGGCGCACGCCTTTAATCCCAGCACTCGGGAGGCAGAGCCAGGCGGATCTCTGTGAGTTCGAGGCCAGCCTGGACTACCAAGTGAGTCCCAGGAAAGGCGCAAAGCTACACAGAGAAACCCTGTCTCGAAAAACCAAAAAAAAAAAAAAAAAAAAGGAGCCAGTGAACTGTTCTTGGGGTTGCCATTTCCCACCACCACATGTTGGAAATAATAAACACTCCTGGTGGTCTTTTATGGAACTTCTCTCGGACCCTAAGAGAAAGAAAAAAAGAAATACACATTTTTTTCACTGTAGGTGGTGGGGAATCTGAACTCAGGTCCTCATGCTTGCACTGAGCCATTTTCCCAACTCCTGGTATTTGTTTGGTAGGCTTTCTGTTTGTTTTTGCTTTATTTCCCTCACCCCACCACCCCAACAGGGTTTCTTTGGGTAGCCCGGGCTGTCCTAAAACTTGCATGCCACCACACCCAGCTTTGTTTTTGTTTTTGAAGATTTATTTTTGTTCTATGTGTATGAGTGTCTCTCTGCATGTACATGTGTAGCATATACTTGCAGTACCCACGGAGACCAGAAGACAGAATTGGAATTAGAGGAGATTGTAAGCCATCGTGTCGGTGGTGAAAACTGAACCTGGTTCCTCTGAAAGAGCAGAAAGTATTCTTAGCAACTGAGCCTTCTCTCCATCTCCAGCCCCACTTTAAAAAAAAAAAAAAAAAAAAAAAAAGGGAAGAAAGTGAGCAGAACAAGCTTCGCTTTTTTTTTTTTTTTTTTTTGAGACAGGGTTTCTCTCTGTAAACAGCCCTGACCATTCTGGAACTCGCTTTGTGAACTGGGCAGACAGATCTCTGTGGGTTCTAAATCAGCTTGGTCTACAAAGCAAGTTCCAGGACAGCCAGGACTATTAAACAGAGAAACCTTCTCTAGAAAACAAAACAAATTATTGTATATATCTTTATTTCATCATGTAAAGAGTACATTTGTTGTTAATTATTTGTGGAATATTCCTTTACACTATGCGAATATATGTCACTATGGTTGGGTTAATAAAGAAGCTGACTGGCCAATAGCTGGACAGGTAGAGGTTAGGAGGGGCTTGCAGACAAAAATAGAGCCCAAAGATGAAGAGAAGGAGTCTGAGAATCACGAGGAGACTCGGAGAGAAGGAGGTGAACTTGATGTACTGAGCAAAGGTATCAGGCCATGTGACAGAGCATAGATAAGAAATATGGGTTAATTTAAAATGTAAGAGTTGGGGCTGGGGGTTTGGCTCAGAGGTTAAGAGCACTGACTGCTCTTCCAGAGGTCCTGAGTTCAATTCCCAGCACCCACATGGTGGCTCACAGCCATCTGTAATGAGATCTGGCACCTCTTCTGTATACATAATAAATAAATAAATCTTAAAAAAAAATGTAAGAGTTAACTAAGCCGGGCAGTGGTGGCGCAAAAAAAAAAAAAAAAGAGGGTTGGGGATTTAGCTCAGTGGTAGAGCACTTGCCTAACAAGCACAAGGCCCTGGGTTCGGTCCTCAGCTCTGGAAAAAAAAAAAAAAGAATTAACTAGTAACAAGCCTGAGGTGGGCAGTGGCGGTGCACACCTTTAATTCCAGCACTCAGAGGCAGAGGCAGACGAATCTCTGAGTTCAAGGCCTGCCTGGTCTACAAAGTGAGTTCCAGGACAGCAAGGACTACACAGAGAAACCCTGTCTTAAAAAACAAAAACAGAGCTGGGCGGTGGTGGCGCACGCCTTTAATCCCAGCACTCGGGAGGCAGAGCCAGGCGGATCTCTGTGTGTTCAAGGCCAGCCAGGACTACCAAGTGAGTTCCAGGAAAGGCGCAAAGCTACACAGAGAAACCCTGTCTCGAAAAAACAAAAAAAAAAAACAAAAAAAAAACAAACCACAAAAACAAACAAACAAAAACCCTGAGCTATTGGTGGAGCATTTATAATTAACAATAAGTCTGAATAGTTATTTGGGAATGGCTGCTGAGACACAGAGAAACTTTGCCTACAATTACCTTACGAACTACAGGAAATAAAATCCAGAATGGAAACAACATTCAAAAAAGTTACTTTAGGGCTGGAGAGATGGCTCAGAAGTTAAGAGCACTGACTGCTCTTCCAGAGGTCCTGAGTTCAATTCCCAGCAACCACATGGTGGCTCACAACCATCTGTAATGAGATCTGGTGCCCTCTTCTGGCCTGCAGGCATACACGCAGGCAGAACATTGTATACATAATAAATAAATCTTTAAAAAAAAAAAAAAAAAAAAAAAAAAAAAAAAAAAAAAAAAAAAAAAAAAAGTTACTTTAGCCGGTGGTGGTGGTGGCGCACGCCTTTAATCCCAGCACTTGGGAGGCAGAGGCAGGTGGATCTTTGTGAGTTCCAGGTCAGCCTGGTCTAAAGAGCGAGATCCAGGAAAGGCACAAAGCTACACAGAAAAACCCTGTCTCGAAAAACCAAAAAACCAAAAAAAAAAAAAAAAAAAAGATTTCGACAAGACATAGAGGGCCCAGAAGTTCGAGGCCAGTTTTGGCCACATACCAAGTCCTGCATGGGCTATATGAGGCCCTGTCTCAGAACCACTAAAAGCAAGGAAGAAGGAAAAACAAAAAAGAATAAAGACAAAAAGCTGCAGACATATTATTATCGTTTTAAAAAGTAGCATTGATTATTATATCGAGTGTGCCATGTCGTGTGTCTCGAGGTCAGTTTTGTGTGGCTCTTTCCTTCTACCAGAAGGTTCCTGGGACTGAATGCTCGACAGGCTGTCATGGCAAGCGCTGTGATCCACTGGGCCATCTCACTGGCCCCTAACCATCCTCTTGATGAGGAAAGTTGTGCACATGATAGTACAATGATCATATCTGTGAAAATCTGTCCTGGGACTCGGTGCTAACTTCTATTGTTTCACGGAACGAAGCTTTCAGTACTTTGACTTTTTACACGATACACCATCATAAGCATGATTTCATTACAGAAATAATGTGATTTTTATGATTTGGAGAAGAAAGGTTTTCTTTTCTCTTGCCTTTTTCTAATAACAAAACAACCACCTCATTTGGTGGTTACTAGGCAACGCTGCCCGGATCAAACCACTCTCAAAAAGTGAGAGGGAGATGGTGGCACAGCTGTTTATAGTTTCAGAACGGAAATTATTCTGAATGGTGGTTGCTAGGCAATGCCTGAACATACCGCCATCTTTGAGTGGGGCAAGGCATTTATCACTACGGAATGAAAACGCCGCGCAGAATGCGGTTGCCAGGCAATGCATTAGCACTGTCGCTATCTTCGACCAGCTGTTTTTAAAAAAATTAGCGTGTAAATTACTACAGCACACAGGAAGGTTGCTAGTCAACACCTCGGCACCATCACCACCTTCAAGCTAGCATCTTCACTCTCGTTATACAAAGGACGTGAAGCTGTGCCCGAGCAATCTGAACGCTTGGCAAGCACTACTTGTCGCCATCTTTGTTAGGGTCACGATGACTTCCGACTGGGGCGGAAGAGAATTTAATCCGGTTGGTGGGTCTGAGTTGAGGAAGGCGGGAATTTGGTCATCTCGCTTCTCGCCAGCTGGCGGCTCCAGACCGCAGACCGACTCATGCTTCCAGACCTACACTGAGAGTCCCCAGGGGGGTGACCTTCCGGGGTGCGGGCTTCCAGATGGGGGATGAGGGGCCAGGAAGCACGGTGCATCTGCTGTGCCTCGCAGCCTCCAGCGGGGTCCCCCTGTTCTGCAGGAGCAGCAGCGGCGGCGCCCCCTCCCGGCAACAGGTGGGGTACTGGGCTCCTGCACCTAAATAAGAAGGGTTTGGGAAGCTGGGACTGCCTCTCTCGCAGGGAGTAGAGGCTGGGTGCCTTTTGCTGGTAAGGGGGACTACTAATAAGCCTGGCTTCCCGAAGAACTTTGGGGGAACATGGAAGAGGCTGCAGAGTGGGGCGCCAGGGTCTCGATGGGGAGGTCTTCGGAATTACTACAGTGTTTCCCCCGCTTCTCAGCTTCCTTTTTCTGTCATCGGCTCCCTCAATGGAGTCCACATGTTCGGACAGAATCTGGACGTGCAGCTGAACTCTGCAAGAACGGAAGACACAACCGTGGTGTGGAAGAGCTTCCATGACAGGTCCTTTGGCGGGATCAAGAGACAACACCTGTCCAGTGATCCCCGGCTTAGATGATCTGCTGTAGCTGGGCTATGGGACCTTGGATAAGCTACCCACCCTCTCTGACCCCTGGTTCTCCCCGAGTCAGGATGTAGCCTGCTCTCGTAGCCTGAAGTGTAGGAACAGCTGACAGACACCGGGTACTTGGCCCCATTGCCCAGGCCTGACCTCCCTCTTGCTTCTCCGCTTTCGTCTCCACAGCATCACACTCATTGCTGTGTCATCCGAGGAGGGCACCTCAGAGCTGAGTCTGGAAAGAATGCTCCACATGGTGTTTGGGGCCATGGTGAGACTGGGCCCTCTTTTCTCCAAAACTCAAGAGATCTGCAACTCTCAGCCCCTTTGCCTCAGTCTAAACCCCTGCATTTTTTTTTTTTTTCTCACACCCAGGCATCCAAACCTCAGCCCTCCTCCCTCATACACAGGATTCCAGGCCTGGTCCTCCTCTCTCACACCCACCCAAGTACTGTCTTCTTTTTGATTAGAGTCCATTCTCCTGTGTCAAGTGTCCCACTCTCCTTTGTGACTCTTCCAGGTTCTCATTGTGGGACTTGAGGAGCTGACCACCATCCGGAATGTAGAGCGACTGAAGAAAGAGCTGAGGGTGAGGCCATGGGACGTGAGTGCAGTCAGGATCCCTAAACCTTGCCTGTTTGTCTGGGACTATAATTCCCACCAGCCCTGGGGCAGCATGAGCCCATAGGTTCTTAGGGAACTTGGTGTTCAACCCTGGAGTGGGCCCCAGCTTTCTCTGGGCTGATCTGGGCCCACTGGGGTCCTAAGCCTTTCCCTTTCCCTCCACCAGGCCAGCTACTGTCTCATTGACAGCTTCCTGGGGAGCTCGGAGCTCATTGGGGACCTGACCCAGTGTGTGGACTCTGCCATCCCTCCAGAGGGCTCTCTCATGCAGGTATTGGGGCAGCTACAGAAATCAGTGTGTCCCATGGCTCTGGCCCAGCCTTCATTCTCTGCCCTCTGGACATCACCCCAGCACCCTCTTAGCATTCTGGAATGGAGTTTTACCTGGAACTCTTTCTAAAAGAACTCTCTTCCCTAGGACAGCCCTGCCCCTCTGCCTGATGTCCCAAGGCCTGTGTCCACTGGTGCTCACCAACCTATGCTGACATCCATAAACCAGTTTTAACTTCCTCGAGGGTCTCAAACAGCCTAAAAACCTTCCAGGTCCCAACCTTGAAGGGAGCACTGCGGTATCTGGGCAAATCCCTGTCTCCCTATCTTAAAGTTCTGTCCCTCGTGGCAGTGTGGCCTGACCAATCAGAGCTTCCAATAGGTCAAACTGTAGATGCACTTGTTAAAATTATTGGCTCTACAGGGCCTCCCAGTGCAGGCCTGTCATCATGGCTACTCTAGAGGCTGAGAAAGAGGGTGAAAAGTTTAAGGCTGGCGGGGCAACTCAGCAAGCACCTGACTCAAAAATTCAATGTGGCTTGGCAGTAGAGGCGCTTAGCTAGCATGCCCAAGGCCTTGAGTTACATTCCCATACGGAAGGGGAAAAAAAGTGATGCATGGTGAACTGAGAATGCTCATTGAATGGGCAAGTTCAAGCATTCCTGTTCACAGAGTGGGTGTGACACAGGAGCACGGCAGCCCAACATATTGGAGTGTCTCCGTTGGTCTTGTGGCTGCTCTTCCACTTCAGGCCCAGCCGGAGAGGTCCCTCCTTGCTTTATGACTCCTAGTCTGACCCCCTCCCCAGGAAACCCTCTCAGGGTTTGCGGAGGCCACTGGCACAGCCTTCGTCAGCCTGCTGGTATCAGGCCGAGTGGTGGCAGCCACCGAGGGCTGGTGGCGCCTGGGCATGCCTGAAGCCGTGCTGCTCCCCTGGCTGGTGGGGTCCCTGCCACCACAGGCCGCTCGCGATTACCCGGTGTACCTGCCACACGGGAGCCCCAAGGTGAGTGGGCGGGGGACAGGGTGGGGCCTCCCGAGGGCGGGCCACCCGTGCTTAGCCCACCCTGCGCCCTGCTGCAGGTCCCGCACCGGCTGTTGACCTTAACGCTGCTGCGGGGCCTGGAGTTGTGTCTGCTGTGCGGGCCGCGCCCGCCCCTCGGCCAGCTGGACCCACAGGTGAGGCGGACTGTCGAGCTGCTGCCCCCCTACCGCCCGGGACACCCCCTCAGAGTGCCACCTGCTGCAGTCCCTAGCCAACCAAGCAACCGTAGGCACCGACCCCCAGCCCCGTCCTCACGCCGGTCACGCCCCTGCAGCTGTTGGAACGCTGGTGGCAGCCGCTGCTGGAGCCCCTCCGCGCCTGCCTGCCCCTGGGCCCCAGGGTGCTGCCCGAAGGGTTCCCGCTGCACAGCGACATCCTCGGGTAAGGCTCAGTGGTGGGGCCCAGGGTGGGGCGGCCCGTGTGCCCCGTCAGCGCCCCATGGCCTGACAGTGCCTTTCCCCAGCCTGCTGCTGCTGCACTTGGAACTGAGACGCTGCCTCTTCACCGTGGAGCCTTCGCGGGATAAAGGTGCGTGGGAAGCGGTGGGTGGGAGGGCCTTAGCCAGAGGCCACCTAGTCACGCCGCTCATTTTTCTCTAGAGCCTTCCCCTGAGCAGCGCCGGCGCCTCCTTAGAAACTTCTACACTCTGGTGGCCACCACACACTTCCCAGCAGGTCAGTGGCAGGCATGAACACTCTGAAACAGAGAACCCAGCATGTGCCTGAATTGCCCTGGGCAATCTTAGTACTTCACTCTGGACCCCTTCTCCAGCCAGGGCTTTTCAGTAAGGACTGCTTCTGGACTGGGCATTTTGTCCCCCACATGGAATTCCAGCCCCACTGTGGGCCAAGGCAGACGAACCATGAGTTTGAGGCCGGCCTGTGTTATAGTGCCTCAAAAGAAAGACGGATTACTGCTCCCTCCTCCAAGGCAAGGATGGTCAGTTATGCTGATCCAAATGCCGAGCAAGGCTAAGTGGCAGCGCTCCAACCGTCCTTCCTGTCACCCTCCACGGTGCTGGGCAGAGCTCTGCTCAAGCTGAGGGGTGTGAGGATCCCAGACTCCATAGTGGGAAGTTGTCCCAAGAGACACAGTGTGGCAGGGGTGAATAAAGACCTCACAAGTGTGCACACTAGTAGAGGCCTGTACTAGGGGGAGAGTAGGGTGTGATCCTCAGGAAGGTAACAGCACTTACGTCAACTCTGCTAGGAATGTCTGAGCTCTCTCTCTCTCTCTCTCTCTCTCTCTCTCTCTCTCTCTCTCTCTCTCTCTCTCTCTCTCTCTCTCTCACACACACACACACACACACACACACACACACACACACACACACGCACGTCATAGGAAAACAGCAAGGCTAGGTGGGAAGAGGAGGATGTGGGAGGTGCTGGGACCTCTGACTGGACTGTGGCTTCCAAGCCACAGCTCTGCTGCTCAGCACCGCCCTCCCTGTCCTTTCCCAGGGCCTGCAGAGAAAGAAGAGGATGCAGGCCGCCCAGCCCAGAGCCCCAGAGCTTGCTACCTGGTGCTGGGGCCGGGCGCGGGGTGGCGGCTGGTGGCGGTGCAGCTAGGGCTTCGGCTGCTGCTGCTGCTGCTGTGTCCTCAGAGCCCCACCCATGGGCTGCGAAGCCTTGCCACCCACACTCTACAAGCCCTTACCCCGTTCCTTTGACCACTGAGGGGTGGGGTGTCAACAGACGGGTAATATTAGCGTCTCTCTGTTTATTTGCTCACAATAATACACGGACCCGGATGGGGAGAGGGAGGGAGGGAGGGAGGGAGGGCGACAATGGGGGAGGGGAGGGGAGGAGGTACCAACTTCTCCAGCCCCTCTCCCCTCTGTGCTCTGGGGGACAAGGGAGGGAGGGTGCTTCCCTTGACCCCCCCAGAATGTAAACAGCAGCAGATGAACAAAAATAAAAATACAAGAGGCCAGAGGAAGCTCCCAGGCATGCCCCCACCCCTGGGGTCTTTGCTCCACCACGGCTGCCTCCATCCCAGGGCTGCCTGGCCCCGGCCATGTCCCAGGGCAAGCCCAGGGCTCAGAACTGCTGGGCCAGCAGCTCGCACAAGTGACGGGAGACAGGCTCTTTGCTGGTGCGCAGGGTCAGGCGGTACATCTGTGTGCAGATGGCGGCCATATGAGCCGAGAGAGCCCAAGAAGGGGTGCAAGGTCAGAGAGGTAAGGCAGGTAAAGAAGGAAGAACAGTGAGAGGCACAGGAAGGAGGGCTGGGTGCAGGGAATGTGGGGTCACAGGCAGGCCCTCCCTCAGCACTCACTTGGGCCTGGGCATTGGGCTCCAGCCGAAGCAGACACCCCACCTGCAGGGCTTTCGTCTGGATGATCCCAGCACCCACAAAGTTCTCAGGGTTGGGGTCCACATTGTCCAGAAGAGCAGAGCCAAACCCCAGAAGCTAGAATGGGGTGGGTATTGGAGAAGCAGAGCTGAGAAGCCTCCAGACTATCCCGGGTCAAACCCTCATGGGTGAGGACTGGTCCATCCGGTGGCCAGCACCCAGTAAATGCCCAGCCTCTCTCACCTTGGCCTTAGTAACTTCAGCATCCATGGGGTGGTTGGCTTTGAAGATTTTCTGTGCCTCCTGCAGGGGGCTGGGAGGGTGAAAGCACGGTCAGGCCCAGGAGGCCCCGCCCCGCCCTGCCCCTCAGCCCCGCCCCACCTCTCAGCCCCGCCCCTCACAGGCTCAGCTGCTTCCAGCGCTGGAAAAAATCCTGGGCGGCCATCTCTGTGGGCTGGAAGAATTTGTTGATGGTCACCGGGAGCTTCAGGGTGAGGGACTGGGCGGTGCCACCGTACCTGAACAGAGGAGAAGCAGCTCAGCCAGGTCCCATCCCTGAAGCCCCTGCCTCACCGCCCACAGCCACAGATTTGGCTCTCACTCACCGGAAGCGCACGGACAGCAGCGGTGGTGTCAGGAAGTCTCGCAGACACTCAATGTTGAGCACCTGCTGCACCTGCGCACCACCGTCCACCTGTGCAGCTACACGCTTCGTCTGCACCGCCAGCTGTGGCCCGGGGTCAAGGAAGCTGGCTAGGGACAGAGGTGGCACAAGCTGAGGGCGTCTTGGGGCAGCCCCAACCCGGGTACGCCAGAGGTTCTGAGGGCCAAGCAGATTCCCCTACATCTAACTCCCACACTCTTTGTCCTGGGACATCTGGGACACCTAGGAATCTCCTTCTGGCCTCCACTCCTGGCTCCAATGGGTGACTAACCTCATGGACCATGATGGGCAACACAGTATTTTCTTAGCCTCAAGTACAAACTGGGTCCATGTGAAATGTCCTGGGGAGCCAGTGAAACCATCCACCATCAGGACATGTCTGTCTGAGGAGCAGTGGCCGTGCACCCAGGTGGACATAATTAGTGTCACCATCTGTACGCAGGCCTGACTGACCCCATGTCAAGAACATGTATGGGCCAGGCGGGCTGGTTCCTATACCCTACCTGGCCTGCCCTACTTCAGACATAGAGCAGTCTGCCCTGGCTCTGGAAAGCTGGTGGACGAAGCAGAGGGTGAAGGACTAGTTGTTCTGGTCTCACACATATAAGGGAGAGGGGGGCCTGGCTCTGATACACCTTCCAGAACATCCCAGGAAGCTGGGCTTACTGGTGCACACCTATAAGCACAGGTAGAAGCAGACGGCTCACCTTGAATTCAAAGCCAGCCCAATCTGTAGAGTGAGTGGAGGCCAGCCTAGGCTGCATTGTATAGTTTCAAAAACAACAAAAGGTCCTCATAAGCAGAAAGAGGGAGATCTACTTTTCTGGAGCGTTAGGAAGCAAGTCACTCAGCTGTGGTACTCCAGGGCTAGCAGTGCATGCAGCATCCCTGGGTAACCTGAGTGCGGGAGCCCCTAGCCCCATAGCATGAAGCCTCATACAGACCACTTCAGCAAAGGTAAGGTGCCTGGCAGGGGTAGTTGGGGTGCTGGAAGTCATACATCCTGTACATTGGGTCTGTCATCTGTCCCTGGGTAGAGGCCTACCTACTATGCATAGTCTTAGAGGTAACATACGTCTAATTCATAGTGAGGGCTCAACAGGTATGGACCTGAGTGTCTGCTTCCCAGGGGCCTACAGGGGTGGGTTGGGGCACTATCAGGGCCAAGAGCAGAGGATATGAGTCTGGAGGTCTCCAGGGTGGACCACGGTGGGCGAGAAGCTCTGGAACTGCACGGAAGTCTTGTTGCCATAGAAGAGATACATTCGGCCTGCAGCAGGTGGGTGAGGGTTCCATCCAAGCTCCTCTGATCCCTTCCCTGCCACCAGCCCAACCAGGAGGTGCTGCCAATAACCCACCCTTCCAGTCACCCGCCTCCCCCAACCTCCAGGCCACCAGGACACACCCAGGTTCTGCCGGAACTCAGACTTGACTCCAATCTGCAGCAGCTGGTTCTCAAACAAGACCCCACTATTCTTACACACGAACCTGGCAGGGTGGTGGGAGTCAGAATGGTAGGGCTCCTCACCGCCCATCTTCATGTTCCCCAGTTGTCCCTGCTCCCCTGCCCACCTCTCCCAGAACTCACTTATTCAGCAGTTCATCCGCTTCTGGGATGGGAGGGCCTATGTCCTCAGGACCTGGGCTGGAGGAGAGGAAGAAGTGAGATTCATAGGGGACTGGGGGGTATAGGCAACACTCTCTAGGAAGGCAGATTCCCCAGGAACCACGGGCCAAGTTTCCCCAGAGACCCCCAGGAATGGGAGTGGGACCCTGGCAGAGGGATCTCCCAAGGACCCCAACTTCCACTGTTTTCTAACCCCTGTCAGTCATCAGAAACCCCTGAAGCCCACCCTGGGGACATCCATCAACCCCACAGCCAGAGGCCACCCCTTACTCAGCAGCTGGAGCTGGGTCAGCCAACAAAGCCATGGGGCTCTCAGGGGCAGGGGGCTCCAGCTCGCTGGGCCATCCAATCCCAGAGGAGACAGAGAAGACAGGCGTGGCAGGCAGCCAATCCCAGAGAGGCAGCAAGAGGGCCAGGGAAAGAGAGGCAAGAGGGTTCAGAAGGAAGAGTGGGCTGAGATACAGCTATGGGAAAGGACAGCACGGGGTAACCAGGGCAGCAGAGTCCAGAGTGGCAGCCAGAGGCTAGGGACAGGAGGGAGATGGAAGGGGGTGGGACTGAGTAGGACAAGGACAGGGGTACCTGAGGAAGGCCTCCTCAGGGGTGGGCCCCAGGCTGGGCTGTGCACTGGGGCCGTCAGAGAAGACATCCACCAGGAGGTTCCCACCTACAGGAACTGGAGGTGCAGCAGGGGGAGGGGCTGCCCGCAGCCCCAAGAGGTCCGCGGAGGGTGAGGGCGTCGACTGCAATTACGAGAGGGTAGAGGTGAGATAGGACAAGGGATAGAGGACCCAGCCTGGCCACATGGTCCATAACTGCGCTCACCACGGTGCTGGGGGTAGGCTCCACACCCCCATTGATGTCACTGTTGCTGGTATCCCTACGGCTGTCATCCAGGGCACTGGCTGCCCCAGGGCCCTTCTTACGCTTCAGCTTGGCCAGGATAGATGACTCGCGCTCGGGAAATGGAGGCATTTCTTCTAGCACAGTGGCCTGTGGGCAGGAGAAGAGTCAGGGGGCACTTATGACCCGGGAGGGTGGTCCCAAGGCCTGGGGCATGGGCTCTGACCAGAACATCAGTGCTGGCTACAGAGCTGAGGGTGAGGTACTCCACTGCCCGCTGCTGGAGCTCCACATCGGCATTGCGCAGCTGGGAGCCGGCACGCAGAACGCCCTGGATGGTGGCCTTGGTCTCAGGGAAGAGGTTGATGAACTTGATGTAGGTGGACAAGAGCAGGGCGCGAGTGGCCACGCTGCACAGGTGGAACTTGGAGTGCAGCAATGAGAACTGGACAGGTGGGCTGTGGAGGGGGTGAGGTCAGCAGACATGCCGTCACCCACACTCCCCAGGGCAAGGCTGGGACCGAGCCCAGGGAACATGCTGAGAGGGGCTCTAGGAACTCCATCATTTCTCAGCCTGATGGGGGGTTCCCAACCCCCTAAGAGGTCCCCCAGAATGAGGCTCCCTCACCTGGAGCGTGGGTCCCCAGCAATCAAGTTCCCAAACTCCCCAAGGATGTAGCCACCGACCTTCACCATGTTCTCATGACAGGCTGGGGCCTGGAGGGCCTGTGAGGGAGCAAGGGAGAGCAGTGTGAGGATAAGGAGAGGAGTCCCCTGATCTCTGCAATGCACACGGGTCATAAATGGGGAGACTGAGGCATGGGGAAATTGTCAAGTGACTAGCTGGACTCTGTGCAGGGGACTCTGAGATCTCCCACACATACTATGATTTCAGTGCTGGAGCCCCAGCTGCCGGCGATGTTTGGAAGGTCCTAAGAACTGGGGGAGGGGGATCTACCTGGAGAAATGAGGGTACTAGGAAATGTGGTATCCTTGATTACTTCCACCCCACATTCTGTGCATGCCCAAGTGTGCACACAGGAGTGCATGCCCGTATGCAAAGTTACGAAGGCCAGAAGATGTCAGGTGTCTTCCTCAATCATTCTCCACCTTGACACGGGATCTCTCACTGAACCGAGAGTTCCATTTTGGCTAGACTAGCTGGCCGGCAAGCCCCCAAGTGCTGGATTACAGTCACACAGAGCCACACTCAGCTTCTGCATGAGGGCCAGGACTGAAAACCAGACTCTCACGCTTGCACACCTGAACTACTGCCCA